TAGCCTGAATGTTCTGCTTTTGATTACTAATTTTCAAGGCCCGGGGATCTGGCATGGATTTGCTGAGTTGCTGTTAAATGCTGTTTAACTTTCAACTTTCCTGTCTTTGAGTTGTTGTTGTATTGAAGATTCGATAGGCTAAACCTTCACTGTGCCACGCATCAAGAAACACAAAGTTTTGGGAGAGAGGTACTGTTACTTGAAATAGGAAAAGAAACAATTTAATTATTCCCAAGGAATACTAACATTTTTGTATGTATAATAAAACTTAACCTTTTCTTGGTTTTGTTGTAAGAGTAGGGATGAGTCTTTCTTTAATGTATAACAGTGAGCAGTTAGTTGTTGTCTAGAATATAAAAGAGGAATATTGGTTGAATTTTGGGGGGATTCTGTATTTCCTGACTGATGGTTAGTTAAGAAGAATATTCTTCCTTCCAGTGGCTTTGTGTTCTGCACAGATTTTGAGCAATTGACCTAGTACCTGGGAAGAATTCCAGTTGTATTTGATGGTGCTTAACAACAAGGTAGAAGACAGAAATAACGATAAACTGTCAGAATTCTTCTAAATGTTCAGATTCTGTTGTCTTTACTAGATTCTCAGGAAATGGAGAGACCTTAGAGACAGATTCTGTTTTTCCTTAGTATGCATGTCATTATCATCACTGCGTTAGTGTGAGGTGAGCAAGTCTTCTCCCTAGAAACCTTGAAATATGTACTGAGCCTTACATTTGTTCAGTGCTTTATTTCTGCAGTTTCTCATGTTTTTGTTGCCAAGTCAAGGCTTAAAACATAGTTACATTAACACACACATTTGCTATGAATCCATATCCTTTCTCTTGTCTCGTTACGCTGCCTGAAAGAGCGATGAGAGCTGTGGCTACGAGGTGGCAGAGGTTTTTGCTATTGTGTGTAGCTGAACACTCCTGTAATGCTGCCTCTGGCTTTCCACATGTCCTGGTGCAGAAGAAAAGGATGAGTGTCACAATTGCAGCTTCTGGCCTGCTCAGGATGTTCTGGAATTCATGTAATTCCCTGAACGTTGCAGGTGGACATGTTGGACCATGCCAGTCCTCACGCTAGCAGTGCTAGGTGTGAGGGACGTGCTGGTTTGTTTCACTGTATTCAGTAAGGCTCACCTCGGCGTGAAGGGATATAAATGTAGATACAAATAATAATAATAATAATAAAATGAACAGAGGAAGTAGTGAACTGTCCAGATGTTTTTGGATTTACATTATATCCACATCCTTTGCTGTGCCAGGGCCAGAACTCTCCTCATGCCTCTCCCCACATATGGGGATACCTCGTACTGCTCTTACAATACCATTCCCTTTCCTGCTTTTTGGACATAGCAGCGTTTGCTGTGTGTGATTCCGAGCTGCCCTTGTGCAGACTGGCCCAGCCTGGAGCACAAACAGGGTGGGTGATGTCCTGACCTGGGGCAGGAGAGGGAAGTAGGGCTTCTCTATCCAGCAGTCCATTAAAAGAACTCATGGCACATAATGTGACTTGTACCTTTTCTTCCAGCTTTGGCTGAAATATAGTAATGGGATTAAAGCTATTCCTAGTACAATTGTAGAAGCCTCGTTTCCTTAGAAAACAAACTTCGAGAGTTTGAAAAGAAAATAGAGTACCTCAGTCAAACCTTTTTTCTTTTTTTTTTCACTCATGTATTAAGTGTCTCATGTTGCACTCTTTGAAATGCTAATATTAATGATCTTGGAGATGTGGAGGTACTTTTTGAAGGAGTTGTGCAGGTCAAGCAAAATTTGGCTTGGTTTTCCATTTGCTCTTCCAGAGCAGCTCTTGGTATTTTTATGTCACACCTGCAAGGACTAAGATGACCTTGGAATCAAGTCACTTTCAGTGTTAAGAAAGAAACTGATTTGTTTACTTGCCTTTCCACAGACAGAAGATGATACAAGCTGTAAACTAATCAAGTTTTTCACCTGGTAGGACAGAAAGCAGAGACAACTGAAAGTGACACCAAAGAAAATCAAGTAGAAAATAAGGCCTGTTTTGTTACTTTAAAGTTGAATATTTGGCACTGAAAGGACCGAATGAACCGTCAAGTCCTATATCCTGGTGCCACTGGCAGTCACTTTGTGCAGTTAGTTTCACAAATTTATGTTGCCTCGTCTTAGGTATTTTGTCCTAGATAGTCTTATTGGGGAGCTTTTCAGAAATTCTCTACTTTGCGGCTACAGAACCTTCTGACTTTTACTCCAGCTGCTTTCACACTTGGCCTTACTCTCTTCGCCTTTAACCACCATTAACGGGTTCTCCATTTCCCATGGTCACTGCAGTATTTCTTCTCTGTATCTGATGTTATGTAGTTTTGTTTTACCTGAGCACAGGTAGATAGAATTGCAAGGAGTACTCTGATGGGATCCCGTCAGGTCCTATCAGTGCCACCTACATTCAAAGGAAATGCCTCTCCTAATGCATCCAGGTGTCATGTTTGTCTTAACATGTCTTGTGTTACTTGGCTATCTTCTTGAGAATGAATATACTACTGGATTCCATTATATTTCTGTTATTCCAGTAGTATTTACTGATTTTTTTCCTCTGTGATACAGTGTTTATTTTATTCTGAAAAGTGCTTCCAACTTCAGTTGTTGATATTAGAGAAACCATGAAGGACTATCCTTTTAGTGAGAGTTTTACTGACTTATGTTCAACCTAAAATTTCGCCTTAGATGTTGGGCTGATGTTCTAAATTGACACCTTAAGTAATCAAATCTTTTAGTTGATTTAGTCTCTCACTACCTGAAATATCTTTCATATGTAAATATGTATTCTTTTCTTACTGCTGCTTCCTTTTTTTTTTTTTTTTGGGGGAAAGTAGGTAAATGACAAAAAAAACCTTCTTGAGTATAACTTGATTGGTGAAATTGATGGGATTTTTGATCAAGTAACAGAAGTGATACAAGCCTGGATGGAGGGGAGAGGCTTTGACAGATATGTTTTGTACAATGATACAAGTATGGTAGTAAGGCCTTAAGAACACTGAGGTAATAGACTAATGATTCTAAATATACTAAATGTTGCATGTAGATAAATATTTTTAAAAAATACATTTAGGATAATTTGAATATCCTGTTCATTTTTGCAACACTGTTTGGCTTGGTACTGTGGTGTAACACCATCTAACTTTCTCATGCTTTTGTCTGTTTTATCTCCAGGAGATGCTCTAGTTGCTGTAAATGATGTTGATGTGAATTCTGAAAACATAGAAAGGGTTTTGTCATGTATTCCAGGTCCTATGCAGGTACAGTAGTTAAACTTTTATTCCTTATGTCCTCTGTAAAAATTAATATTATTTCTAGCCTTTTTCCCTCAGGAAACAAAATGTAAGTGATCTTTTTCTTAGAACTTCCCCATCTGATTTTTGAACACATTGGTTGACTTCAGTGAAACTTAGAGTAGAAATTTCAGAGTTTAATTCTGCTAAGTTTTGTGGAAATAGGTAGGTGCAAGTAATGTCCCCACTAAGGGACATTAGGCACAGTCCAGCTCTTAACATATTGTTTGTCATCAGAGTTAGAAAGCACGTGCAACATACTGCAAGAGGTGGCAGCATACTTGTAGGTTTAGACTAACCATAACACTGGATTATTTTTTTTCCCAGTACAAGAATCAAGGTATTCTGAGTATTCGTGTTTCTCTCTGAGAACTACTACATACATGTGTGGAAAATCAAGTTTCATTACTTCCTTCTGCTCAGAAAATGACTTTAATATTATGTTATCACTGGCATCAAAATTAATTACTTCTTATTGAATACAGGGAAGTAACTCCTTTGAGATAAGCACAAACTTTTAACCAGCCACAGTTGTAGTTATGAGCAAAGATGACAAGTATGGTTGCTCTGAGAGTTGGTATTTTGTATGCTCTGATCTCAGCAAATGAAGGATGTGATGTTGTGGTGCCTTGCTCCTGGTGGGTAATAAGGCTGGAGATGTGCAATCTGGCAATAACATGCATGAAGCAAGATTCTGATGTCTCGCTTAGAAATAAATATGTCAACTGCAGAACAGTAGTGGCTTTTTTTGTTATGTTCTTATAACAGCAATAATCGCTATGGAAATACTTAAATAAAATAATTATCTCTTCATCAATATGAGAGACTCACAAACCACAAGAGAGAAAAAAGAAGCCTGGATTAACAAGTAGTGCTATTAAGGATATTTAAAACCATTTAAATGGGAGAAAATGATAACGCTTTCATATTTAAATAGAAAAATAAATTCTTGAGTATTTTAAGAGCTTTTAAATACTTTTAAGATCTTTGAAAACTGAATAATAATGAAGATTGATAGAAGTCAATAATAAAAATTGATAGAAAAAAAAAAAAAACTAACAAACTGACCTGATGAATAATGTCTCTTCCCCCAAAAAAACCTACTGCATATATCTTCTTTTCTAGCTGAATAATAATTTTGGAGCTATAACGAAGAATGAAATAACTAATACAGAACTAGGTAACTATTTCAGAATTACACCAGGAGACTGTTCATTACCTAGGCTGTTAGTAGTGTAAAATTAAGTATTTTGAGTTACTCTGCTTAAAGCCACTTTCTGGTGGAGAGGAACACAAGGTGGAAGCTGCAACTTTGTAAGATGGAGCAGGTTAAAATTATAGTGTGTCTGTAATCTCTTGGCAGTTTTTATTCAGGTAGAATATATGAGGTGATAATAGTGGAAATGTTTTACTGTCCAGAGATGATAAGAAGTGGAAATTTTAGGTTTTGTTAAACATGCTTCTGTTGGCAACTCCTGTACTGTAAGTGCCTGTAGAACTGTATCTGCAACTGCAGTAAGATTGAGTACTAGTATGTCAGTTTAGGAAGCTTTCCAAGATACTTGACAGTATGAAGCTTGCCTAAGCTACCAGAGCTGTGGTCAGGTGTTGGCAGAGCTCCATGGTAGAAAAACCTTGTCTTTCCTGTCTTTGACCAAATACGGAGTTGCTGTAACTGTTATTAAATACGCAATGATTTAAAAAGCAGAGATCATATAGTTTATTTAATTGTATGCTTGCTAGATTAGAGTATACGTATCACTTGTTGCTAAAATGCAATCCAACCCTTTATATAGTAGTTACTTCTAATGCAATGTTAAAGTTTACATTGTCAGTAAATCTGTCAAGTAGACAGCGGTTACTTTAAATGTATATTTGAAATATAACTGTTTGTCATGTTGGCTTTCCAAAACCTTTTATTAAAGTGCAATTACTCCTTTTTTACTGTACAGTTTGAGTCAAGCCAGAAGACTGATTGCTGAAATAGACCAGTGGAGAATTTAAATACAGAGTTCTGAGGTTTTTGCTGTGTTCATGCTGCTGAAGAAACAGAGGGTTGTTGTTTCTGAACTCTAGTAATAAAGACAGCTTTTAAATGAGCAAAATTGTTAATGTATTCTCATTCATCTTACATTGCAAAATGTATTTAAAAACACAGTTTAAAACTGTTTTACTGTAGTTAGAAGTTATTTATGTAAGCAAAGTCACTGCTCTTCTGGGTTCAGTGTTAAAAATTACTGGAAATAATTTCAAAATCTAATTACCTAGATTCTCTCGGTTGCAGCATGTGGCATAACATCTCTCATTATTATATTTCCAGAATTTTGTTTTCCTTATCTCAGTTTAGGCAAACTAGTTTCTAGGCACGTAAGGGCTAGGTTAGTGTCTGTAATGAGCAATACAAGTCCAAATGCTACATCAGCATTGGATACCCCGTTTAGAAGTTGTGTAGCAGTCACTGAATGTGACAGGACAAAGCATACTCCTCCATGTGTGTTTGAGATCATATGATAAAATTATATTCTGCAGTCCATGCAAATTCACATTTCTGTAATCAATCTGCTGTTTACTATCACCACGAGACAGAGAAGACAGAATAGGAAGGGGAAGATGTGTTAAAAATATATACTTTTCCTTATTTTGATACTCTGAAGTTGCAGAACCATTTTACCCGAAAGTTTCTAAAAATATGTAGCCTGAAGCAGACATTCAGAATCAGAAATTTCAGCCTGAAATTTTGAGTTACAGTTGTGCAAACCGTAAGCACATGGAAAACAGAGACTCAGAACAGGAAATGGCAGGCAATCTTAAAAGGCAGGCAATGCCACCAGCTCTGTCTATAATAAAATCCATATTCTAAGACGTACAGCTTTCCTGCAATAAACAGAACACATGCCTTTCTGGGTCAGACCAATGTATAACAGCTATATTTTCTGTTTCATACACTGACAAATGTGTATTAAGAAACAAATTAAATACAAAGTGACCTTCCCAGCAAGCTTCCAGCAGTCAATAGTTAGGAACCAAATTTGTACCATCTTCTTTTTTAATCTAGTTCTTAAAATTTCTTTGACCTCCACAGCATCCTGTAGCAGTGACTTACATAACTGGTGTCTTCAGCTCCATTTTTGTTGGTTTTCAAACTGCCATCTAATTAGGTGCATTTCATACCCCCAGGTTCCTGTATTATGAGGAGTAGTTAATCATCCATGTCTTATTCTTTGTACCATTGTATGACTTTGGAGAGCTCTATCAGGTTTCGCTTTTGTCACATATTTCCTAAGCAGAAAAATCCCCATCTATGTACCTCATCGTTTGCTGTATTGTTGCCTTCATCAGTGCCTTCTTGCAGTTTTACTAAATTCTTTTTGAGAACTATTCAAAATATTAAGAATGTGTGCATGCTATATATTTATAGATTGGAATACTAATATTTTCTGTGCCTTTCCTGTTCTACATTTCATTTCCTTTTCTGTTTTCTGCTGGGCATTAAACTGATTTTCTTTAAGAGAAATGGTATCAAAGTTGTGAAAGATTTCATAGTCAGTATTTGCAAAAGGGTACTTAAGTAGTCAGATGTTTAATCAGATCCTATACACTGCTTAGAATGAACACTCATTTCTCTTCCACACAAAAATAATAGTTTTTAGGGTATGTAGAAATGTAGTCTCTTGGTCATTTTTAATTACGGCTTTTTCCAGCCTAGATAAGTCTGTTTCACAGTAATTTTTTTTAAAGGCAGGAAACAGATTAGAACTTGGACAAAAGTTGAGAGGAACAGGAGATACCACGTTTCAAGCTGTTAGATAGAATGGAGCAGATTTGGAAAGGAACTTGTAGTCAAATTGTGCAGAGCCACCTTTCTCAAAATAGAGTGACTGCCCGTCTGAGCGGTGCGGTGGGAGGCAGCATGGGTACCTGCAGGAGAAAGGAGAGTTAAAGTTGTTTGGCCCACTTTGTTTTGAGCTCTTCTTTGGAGAGCTGTACTGGCTGTGTTTCTAAGACAAGACAAACTGAGTTTTCAGGGGCTTTTTGTTTGTTTGGTTTTGGGTTTTTTTTAAATTGAGAGACTAAAGGCTGCAGCATGAATTACATCTGTGCATCATTAGTGTAGAGACTGCAGCCGAAGTGTCATGAGTAAGTGTCCACAGACAAGATGTAGTAGAAGTTACGAGAAGTAGCTATTGAGCCTTGAGGAAATCTGCAAGAAGTTAAACAGGATATGAGGAAAATCCTCCGAAATACATGCAGATGGTGTGACAGAGAAAGAGAACTGAGTCACAGAATGCCAGAGAAGAAAACATGCATCTATAAAACTGAAACAATCAAGTTACTGGGTATTAAAAAGCGAGTGCTTCTTAGTTGGATGCTTCTGCTTCTCAAGTCCTGTTAATATGCGGTGTAATGAATCAGAACTGAAATAATGAGGAGAGAGCGAGGGATGAACCACTGTCAGAAAAGAAAGCGGTAGCACATGCCAGGAGAGCAGGACTGAGTGCAGTGCTGTTCCAGAGAATGGGAACAGAAAAGCGAAAAAAAGCTGATAGCAGCCAAAACAGGAGAGGAAAAGATTAATGAGAAGTGTTGGGAGGGAGTAGCGTGGAATGGGAAGGCAGCAGCCAGTGACAGAAATACTGTAGCTGGAAGAGCTGGTGATGGCACTTCTCTCTGATCTAGCCTGACAGGCAGTGGGTGTTCTAAAGCATCACTACTTCTTGCTGGCACCCCTCTCTTCAAGTATGTGTATACACATTCACAATTATGAAAACGTATATTATCTATACTGAAATGTATAAATTACCTCTGCTTGGGCTTTACAAATTTGTTGTAATTGGGAAAATGTAAGCCTTTTTTGTTGCATCAATCATTAGGATAAGCTGTCGCTGAGTTTAAAGAGAAGCAAGATTTGGTCTGATATATTATGTTTAAAACTTTCCAGTCAATAGACACCTTAAGGACACTTTAAGGCAGACAAACAGCCTTGAATAAAAACGTATGGAAGAGGGAACTGAGAGGGTGCCTGCTTAGACCAAATAGATATATTTTCAGTCATTTTGAACAATGATGAAAACTAAGGTATCATCCAAGAAAATAATTTATTCTTCTCAGAAATTGCAATTTTATGCTGAGTCTAGAGCTAGATATTTCTCACATATCTTTCTTTCATACTTAGGATGAAGTGTTCAATCCAAAAAAAAAATAAAATACTACTCTCTCATCACTGCTGGCACAACTAAGAAATGTAATTTTTTTGAGGCACTGCTCATAAAAAGGAGGTCTATAAAGCAAATTGTGAACCATATTTCCACACAAAGTTTGGCTTTTGTGTTTTGTGAGCCAGGAAATAGGCATTTTTTTTCTAAAATTCCAGGGGTTTACTTTATTTGGGAAATAAAGAACAGTAAGCATCCTGTGATTTTTTGACAAAGTAAACTTGATCATCTAAACTTCACGTTATTTTAATTTTTGTTTGTGCTTCGATTTATTTTCTTCTGAAGGCAGTGTGGCAAGTGGTGTAAACAACTTCTGTGCTTCTTTCTAGTTGTGTACACTTGTTAAACATGGCAACAAAACTTATTTGCTGACTCTACAGTGTAAAAAAAAAAAAAAAAAAGGGAAAGTTAACAAAGTGAAAATGTTGGCCGATTGAAGGAATTGCTGCTGAGTGTTACAAATTAACAGACTTTTGCAGTCTAATATGAATTGATTTCCCTGTGCAAATGTACCTGTCAGTGCACTCAAAATAACAAAGAAAAGCTCATGAAAGAGCCTGGAGGATATATACTTATGGAAGTGCTGACATTGTGAAGGAAGTCAAATACTGTGTGTGTTTCAGAAGTATGGTAATAGGTTTTGTGTTCAAACAAACCTAGAGCAGTAAGTATATTTTTCCAGTTAAAAAAAAAAAAAAAAAAAGGAAAGTTAACAAAGTGAAAATGTTGGCCGATTGAAGGAATTGCTGCTGAGTGTTACAAATTAACAGACTTTTGCAGTCTAATATGAATTGATTTCCCTGTGCAAATGTACCTGTCAGTGCACTCAAAATAACAAAGAAAAGCTCATGAAAGAGCCTGGAGGATATATACTTATGGAAGTGCTGACATTGTGAAGGAAGTCAAATACTGTGTGTGTTTCAGAAGTATGGTAATAGGTTTTGTGTTCAAACAAACCTAGAGCAGTAAGTATATTTTTCCAGTCTCAAAACCATAAGAATTAAGTATGAAAACACACCAAACCACATGCTTACTCACACGGTTCACAGAGCATGTAATAGCTGGCTTTGTCCTTAATGATAGATGGTTGTGTAATGCTGAGTATGTAATTGGTTTCTTGAAACAGCAGGAATTTTTGAATGCTTACATCTTTGTCAGTAGAGCTAAGAAAACTTAATCTCTTGAAGGGCTGAAACCGCATCTATTTCATGCGGTAGTAGAATGTAATTGTAAGTACAGCCTCATTTTCACAATAATTAATTATCTTAATAGGTTAAACTTACATTTGAAACATCAATATTTGAGCCTGAAGGAGCTTCTCAGCAGAGGTATAAACAGGCACAGTCAAGTATGAACAATCTGGTTCGGCTCTTGTGGGGAGAAGACAGTACAGACCTTCAGCAGGCTGTACAAGACGTGCCTCATGTCGTCATGTTCCTCGCAACGAAACTGGACTCTGAAACATCTAAGGATGAGGTACGTGGCTAAATGAAGCTGAAGATGAAAGGTAACAACTGACAACAGCAACTGCTATGCCTTTCGATGTTTAAAAAAAAACAAAAACAAAAAAAAAACCAAACAAACCTTGCTAATCATTTTGAGCAGTCTGTAAAATGCCCATTCTGACAGAAATAAGGCCTAAAATTCCAGGGAAAAAAAAGCATCACTGCCGACAAACTTTAATTGGACTTGAAATTCAGTGCTGCTGAGTAAAGAGCAGGCCAGAGGTGTTAACAGACAAAGCAGAGACAAATCCAGCAGTTTGTTGCTGTCTTTCGGATGCTCACTGGGATGTTTTCAACGCGCCTCTCAGACTTGAACTATGAAATCTGCCTAGTCAAAAAAATTTTCCTCAGCAGGAGCTGTTGGCAGTCCACATGCATAAGTACTTCTCCTTTGTCCCGTACAGCTTCCTTTCACATCTCTTTCAGTTTTGTGTTCCTCAGAAAAATTTTGCCAGTGTACATAGGAGCCATTGTAAGCTTGTGTGGATGTTGTTCACGGTGTAGCCATAGCTACAGACGCTCCTCTCTGAGTGCAGGGAAGGCACGGAACAGTGTGGAGAGCTGACTTTGGCCTCTTGCCTGATCTAAAAATGACAAATGGACAATGGACTTTTTAGGAACAAACACTTGGAAAAAGACTCTTCTCCCCTTCTGTAAATTCTCCTTAGGTTTAGCATAGTGCCCCAATGATCTGTATTATCTGTGGAGACATCAAATGAAGCACAATTTTGCTACTTCACAGGGACTGGGATGGTGGGACAGTAACGGAGTGGGGAGCAGAAGAAAGATATTTTGCTTTCCTCTGGAATGAATCCTTAGATCCAGTCAGTGCTCCATCCCTTCTCTGAGATGTCCTTATTTTTTGATACTGTTTTTCAGCTGATAGAAGTCTGTATCACTCTGGTGATGTGTAACAGAGGAAAAGGTGTTACAACTACATATAATTGAGTTCACTTTTATTTTCTAGAGATAGGGCTTGGGAGGAGAACCCCAAAAATTACATGATGTCATAATACCATGAAAAAAATGTTGTGAAGTTTGCAGAGTCAAGTGCTTGTAAGCTAGGAAATGACAGATTTATGGCTACTTCTGTAACTTTAATTCAGCCCTTTTGTACATACACAGCATGACATTATCTTTAAATATTACATTTTTTCTGAAAGATGCTTGTCTTGGACAGATGATAGTATGTAATTAAGGCTTATTAGGCAACCAGTACTTCATAATTCTGAAGTACTCGACTTAAATCATGGTTTTTTAACAAAATGTTTTTAAGGTAATATATGCTTCATTGTGTATTACAGCAAGATACTAACACTCTAAGCTTTGGTTTGCAGTTCTTTACTGTTTAAGAGGCCACAGTTTTTCATGGGAGATACCTTCAGAAGAAATTAGTTTATACCAGTGTCTCTTAGGGTTTGGTTTTCTTTGTGTTTTTTTTTAATAGCATTGCTATTAATAGGTGGGGTCATTCTGTGCTCTTTTTCCTACCCAGACACTATTTCCATTAAAGCATATGATACTGCAGTATTTTTCTGCTTTGGTATTTCCCAATAATAAAAGTGAAAAGAGCTCATTTAACTGTGAATTCAGTAAACTTAAGATGCTTTATCAAAGTTCACTTACATACTGCAAATAGTTCTTTTTTTTTTTTTTTTTTTTTTTTTTTATTTAAGTTTGTTGTTCAAGACTGCTGTGTTATGTGGATAGAACAGCTATGCACAGTTGTTGTAGACTTCAAGACCAGTGTTTTCTTGGTCACATAAATTTTATGAAATATTAAAACAAGAAGTTTTTTTTTTTTTTTTTTTTTTTTCTTCAATTCTAAGTTTGTTGTTCAAGACTGCTGTGTTATGTGGATAGAACAGCTATGGACAGTTGTTGTAGACTTAAAGACCAGTGTTTTCTTGGTCACATAAATTTTATGAAATATTAAAACAAGAAGTTGTTTCAGGGCCTCTGGCCTCCTCTGTTGGTAGGTGAATAGATATGCAAATGCCTAATTGCAGTTCCTGCACTTCAGAGTACATGGAGTACTGCTTTCTTGCCCCATTATTTCTCTACATTCTCTCAAGAAACAGCATTAACCCCGAATATTGAGCAGAGGTAAAAGGAGGATTGCAATGCACTTGTTTTCCCTTCAGACCATGGAAGAATTGTTTCCTAGAAGTCTTGGCAGTTTATGCAGCCCCAAATAGTCTCCAATATTGAGACATGCTTTGCTGGTGTAATCAAGATCTTTATAACATTACCAAAGAAAAGCCACCTTCAAGGCATCTGTCTTTAATTTCATTTGGTGAGCAGTAAGTGACATCTATCCTGCAGATGTACTGTTCCAGATTCAGTTTCCAGTTGTACTTCAAACGAGTACTGCTGTTACTATACACACCTGTGCCAGATTGCACAATAAAAATATAATGAACTTTTACTAAGCTTCTTTACCCATAGCCAGAGGAGGTGTGGTACACAGATCACATCCATGTGAAAGCTATGGTGACTAGAACTAGTAAATAGTTCTTCCATTTGTGAGCTTTTGGCACCCAAAAATAGAATTAATGAGCTCTGAGACAAGTTTTATCTGCTCAATTATAAAGGAAAATAATACTAGAAATAACTTAACATGTGTGCAGGCATGTGGAAGGTGTCCCATGTGATCATGGTTTCAGTAAGTAAGGTCTTGTCTTTTTTATGGTTTAGTTCAATGTAGGCATTACAATTATAAGATACCTTATTTGTACCAGCATACACTTTAACATCTTCATGTGATTGAACGTGTTTTGGTGATACCGGGATTTAAAAGGAGTAATGTTCCTATTCTTCCTTCAGGGTAGTGTTACTGGAAGTGTGGGTTTAGCACCCTGCAGAGCAGGTATTGCTGATTAGCTGTTGAGATAGCCTGGGTCAGACACTGATTTGTGCTTCCTGTAGCATTTCTCTCTGGTTTTATAATTCCTGAATTAATCTTTAAGAACTCATAGTTGTCTTTGCATCTGTTGTTTCTTTGTTAATATTTATAGTTAATCTTACTATTTGAGAGCATCTATTGTCGTTTGAAGATTATAGGAAGTTTTTAGCTGGTCAGCACCAATTGGACAAAATTTCTTTTAGCCCTTTCTTATGTTGTTAAGCCTGCACTAATCTGTTTTCTTAAAAATGTTATTTTGGCTCAGTTTGAGAAATTAGTAAAATAAAAATAAAAAAAAGGGAAGGTGTTTGATAAGCCATTAGTTTAGATACTCTGTCCAGGTTTGGGGTTTTTGGGTTGAGGGAGGGTTTACACTTTTTAAGAACTGAGCCACTTCTCATTTATTAATTCCATTGTCATTGGCCTATGAACTTTTGATTTGCTTTGAAGACAGCTGATCTTGTATGGTGGTATGTGCTGAACCTTGCTAACTCATTAATATATACATAAAATGCAGCTCTGACCTTTTGTTACAGTTGTCCTTTGTTTCCCTGGGAAAGTGTACAGATAATTCTCAAATGAATTTTGTGTAAAGGCCCCGGTTCACAGTGAGGAGGAAAAAAAGGGCTCATTCTACCCTTTGTAGTGTTGTAATTAGAAAATGGCAGGTTTTTTCCAGCTGAGAGATTGATTCAAGGAAGAAAAAATCCTTGTCGCTAATGAGTATTTGAAAATAGAGCTAATTAAATTGGATGAGAATGAAGAGTTTGCCAGGTCCTTCTGTAATGAAACTTTACATTCTTTTAATCTTGATGAAGGAAAATTTTCTAATGGGTATTGGCAGTGGCTGGATGTGCTTAGTGACATAAATAGGGAAGTTAATCTTCTCTGTGTTTCTTTTGTTTGTGTACAAAGATAATTTAGTTTGCTCTTTACAATGGATATGCTTGATATCACCCACATTATTTCTGGCCCATCTTGATTTAGCAGAAAGCAATAAATGTGATGAATCAGATGTTTGCTTATATACTGTATTGTTATGGGTGTTGAAATAATAATTTTTTTAAAAAATCACTTACATAAAACATTTAAAAGAACTGGTTAGAAAAAGAAAAATAATTGTCACAAATATTTACCTCTAGTGATCTTCAATTTCAAGGTTATGTCTTTAAGAGTATGCTGGCACAGATGGTCAGAGGTTTGTTGTTACTGGTGTACAAGTTATTTGAGTATATTTGTTATATTTGAGTATATCAGTTATATTTTGTGCTATACGTGTAAAGCAACTAGGGAGGGTAATATAGAGGGATTGGAGTTTCCATATTGTTGGTTTTTCAAGAACTATGATGACAAATCACAATTTAAATATTGAAAGAACCATACAAATATTAGCTGGAATGAGATTTGTTATCAGTGTACTTTAAGCTGTAAAATGCCATGGACATAGTGTTTGTCTCCCTATAATAATGATTCTAAATTAAAGTCCTACTTTTCTATAAAATAGAAAAGTTAAAACTGTTGGAAACATTCACATGCATTTTAGAGCTTTCCAGTATGCTCGTGCAGACGACTGCTTGGTTTGGTACCATGGGAAACTATATGATAAAAGCTTTCATGTTTAAAAAGAAAAAAACCAAACAAATTGATGCCAGAAAAAAAACTTACCTTGTTTTCTGTGGGTGGGTTTTTTTGTGATTTTGATTTTGCTTTGCTTAACTAACAGCTAACTTTCTTCACAGCAAGAAATTCTTTATCAGTATCCCATATCAGAAGCATCCCAAAAACTGAAAAGTGTGAGAGGCATATTTCTCACACTATCTGACATACTGGAAAGTGTTACTGGTACCCAGATTATCAGGTAAAAGTATTTGAAATGTAATGTATTCCTACTTTTATTATATTATCCGTATGTGTACAGAAAAACACACGTGGGTCATGCATCAAGTCTAAAAACAAGAGTGACTCTACCTGTTACAGTAATGTTTTAGCTAGAACAGAAAGACTGAAGTTGAACTCCTTACCCTGAGTGTACATTGATTTGGGGATCTTTGCCCCGGATGGCAATGACTAGGATTTTC